GATGATGATGATGATGGGATGGAGATGGACGAGGATGGGACAGGGACAGACTCAGGGTCACGGATGACACTAAGGTCCATCCCACCACCCCTCAGCTGTGGGTGCAGGACCGCTTACCCTTGGCCACCCTGAAGGACCACGGCACCAACCTGCAGACGGTCCAACAGTTCATCAAGAAGAACCAGGTGAGCTCCAGCACCAGGATGAAGGTTGGGGGGACACCAACGACCTCTCCACACCCACCTCTTCTCCACCTTCTCCTAGAACCTCCGTCGGGAGATCCAGGTCCATCGTCCTCGCGTTGACGAGGTGCTGGAACGCGCCGGTGCCGTTGCCTCCATCAAAAGTCCTGAAGCTGAAGGTGTCCGACGTCTTCTGGAGAAGTTGAGGACAACGTGGACGGAGCTCCAGGACCAGGCAGAACGTCGGCAGCAGGTTTTGGATGCCACCTACCAACTGGAACAATACTACTTCGACGTGGCCGAGGTGGAGTCATGGTTGGGCGAGCAGGAGCTGCTGTTGATGAGCGAGGAGAAGGGGAAGGTGCTGATGGGATGGCTGAGGGGATGGAGAAGTTAAGGACCTTCTCCACCATCACCACCACCACCATCTCACCTCTTCAATGTTCTCCTCCAAGGATGAGCAGAGCACCTTACAACTCCTCAAGAAACATCTCCTGATGGAACAAACGGTGGAGAACTACGAGGAGACCATCGCTCAACTGTCCCGCCAGTGCCGCGCTCTTCTAGAACTTGGTCACCCTCAAAGGTGGGTTCAGCTTCTTCATCACCAGGAGAACTTCATCCTTCACCATCACCAGAACTTCATCCTTCATCATCACCAGAACTTCATCCTTCTCCATCATCAGGAGAACTTCATCCTTCTCCATCACCAGAACTTCATCCTTCTCCATCATCAGGAGAACTTCATCCTTCTCCATCACCAGAACTTCATCCTTCTCCATCATGAGAACTTCATCCTTCACCATCACCAGAACTTCATCCTTCTCCATCACCAGGAGAACTTCATCCTTCACCCCCCAACACCATCATGGGGTGGAGGGTTGGGGGTTGATCTTTGACGTTGACCAACCATTGTGTCTCTTCACCCAGTGAGCAGGTCAGCAGAAGACAGTCGCAGGTTGACCGACTCTACGTGTCTCTGAAGGATCTGGTGGAGGAACGCAAGGCCAAGTTGGAGCAACAATATTGGCTCTACCAACTCAACCGGGAAGTGGACGAGTTGGAACATTGGATCGCTGAGAAGGAGGTGGTGGCTGGTTCTCCAGAGCTGGGACAGGACTTTGAACACGTCACGGTCAGTTAGAGGTGGTCTTGGTATGGTTCATGGCCATGGAGGTCCTGGAGATGTCCCCATCCCATGTTGAGGGTCCTGGAGATGTCCCCACCTTGTGCTTGAGGTCCTGGAGATATCCCCACCCTGTTCTGGATGTTCTGGAGTTGTCCCCACCTTGTTCTCGAGGTTCTGGAGATGTCCCCATCCTGTTCTGAAGGTTCTGGAAATGTCTCCATCCCGTGTTGAGGGTTCTGGAGATGTCCCCACCTTGTGCTCGAGGTTCTGGAGTTGTCCCCACCCTATGCTGGAGGTCCTGGAGATGTCCCCATCCTGTTCTGGAGGTTCTGGAGATGTCCCCATCCCGTGTTGAGGGTCCTGGTGTTGTCCCCACCCTGTGCTGAAGGTCCTGGGTACCATACCTGTCCCATGCTGGAGGTTCTATCTCCATCCTGGTCCTGGGCACCATCCTTGTCCCATGATGGTGCTTCTTGGTACCATCCTTGTCCCATGATGGTGGTCCTGGGACCATCCTTGTCCCATGATGGTGGTCTTGGTACCACCAATGTCCCATGATGGTGGTCCTGGGTACCATACCTGTCCCATGCTGGAGGTTCTATCTCCATCCTGGTCCTGGGCACCATCCTTGTCCCATGATGGTGGTCTTGGTACCATCAATGTCCCATGATGGTGCTTCTTGGTACCAACCTCATCCCATGCTGGAGGTCCTGGGACCATCCCTGTCCCATGATGGTGGTCTTGGTACCACCAATGTCCCAATGTGGTGGTCTTGGCACCATCCCTGTCCCATGCTGGAGGTCCTGGGCACCATCAATGTCCCATGCTGGAGATCCTATCTCCATCCTGGTCCTGGGCACGATCCTCATCCCATGGTGGTGGTCCTGGGACCACCCCTGTCCCACGCTGGAGATCCTGGCCACCATCCCTTACCTGGTACAACCAACCTGGTGCTGTTGGTCCCTGACTCCTGTCCATCCTTGTCCATCTCAGCTCCTCCAGGAGAAGTTCTTGGAGTTCGCCAGCGAGACGGGCAGCGTCGGCCAAGAACGAATCGCCGCCGTCAACCAAATGGTGGACGAGTTGATCGACTACGGCCACGCCGACGCCGCCACCATCGCCGAGTGGAAGGACGGAGTCAACGAAGCTTGGGCAGATCTTCTGGAGTTGATGGAAACCAGAGCTCAGATGTTGGCAGCTTCTCACGAGTTACACAAGTTCTTCAACGATTGTAAAGAAGTTTTGGGACAAATCGAGGAGAAGAGACAACGTCTCCCAGAACTGGCGGCTCGAGAAGGTCGGACGTCGGCCGGAGCTTTGCAACGAGCCTTGGGCGTCTTTGAACATGACGTCGAAGTCTTGGTGACCCAAGTGAGGCAACTTCAAGAAGGTGCTGCCCAGTTGAGGACACTCTACGCCGGGGACAATGCCGAGGCCATCGCCGGGAGGGAGCAGGAGGTCCTACGGGCGTGGAAGGAGCTCCTGGCTGCGTGTGAAGAGTGTCGGCTCCACGTGGCCAGCGTCGCCGATAAGATCCGGTTCGTGGGCACCGTGAGGGACCTTCTGGCCTGGATGGATGGTGTCCTCTGCCAGATCGGCGCTGGAGAGAAGCCCAGGTAGTGGGAGATGTGGGATGGACCCAGGTTCTATGTCTTCTGCTGGCACCAAGAACTATGTCTTGGCCCATCTGTGGTGTCAAGGGTCCATGTCTTGGTCCCATCACAAGGATCCATCTCCTGGTCCATCCCAAGGACCTGTCTTGGTCCCATCACAAGGATCCATCTCCTGTCCCATCCCAAGGTCCATGTCCTGTCCCATCTCAAGGACCCATCTTCTGTCCCATCTCAAGGATCCATCTCCTGTCCCATCCCAAGGTCCATGTCCTGTCCCATCTCAAGGACCCATCTTCTGTCCCATCTCAAGGATCCATCTCCTGTCCCATCCCAAGGTCCATGTCCTGTCCCATCTCAAGGACCCATCTTCTGTCCCATCTCAAGGATCCATCTCCTGTCCCATCCCAAGGTCCATGTCCTGGTCCATCACAAGGATCCATCTCCTGATTCACCCCAAGGATCCATGTTCTGGTCCATCCCAAGGTCCATCTTCTGGTCCATCCCAAGGTCCATCTCCTGGTCCATCCCAAGGATCCATCTCCTGGTCCATCCCAAGGATCCATGTCCTGTCCCATCTCAAGGATCCACCTCCTGTCCCATCTCAAGGATCCATCTCCTGATTCACCCCAAGGATCCATGTCCTGGTCCATCCCAAGGTCCATGTTCTGGTCCATCCCAAGGTCCATCTCCTGTCCCATCCCAAGGATCCATCTCCTGTCCCACCCTGAGGACCTCTGTCCTGTCCCATCATGAAGATCCATGTCCTATCCCATCGGTGGCATTAAGGACCCATGTCCTGTCCCATCCAGAAGACGTTTGTGTTGTCCCATGTCCTGTCCCATCACAAGGACCCGTGTCCTCGTCCATCCATGAAGCCAAGGAGCTGTGTCCTGTTCCACCTGAAGGACCCATGTTCTATCTCCTTCTTAAGACCTGTGTCCTGACCCACCCATGGAGCCAAGAACCCACCTCCTGTCCCATCCCAGGGTGGGGGGAACCATCTCCATCCCCTCCCACCCTCTCCCAGCCCCACCATCCCTACTTGTAGGGACGTCTCCTCAGTGGAGCTGCTGATGAACGACCACCAAGGTCTCAAGAACGAGATGGAAGCCCGTGGCAAGAGCATCTCCACCTGCCTGGAGCTCGGCAAGACCCTCATCCTCGGCAAGAGCCCGGCGGCCGATGAGGTGCCAGGGAGGTGGTTGGATGGGATGAGATGGTGGGACCACAACTCTTGGAAGGTCCCAACCCATCTCCTCCATCCTTGTAGATCAAAACCCACGTGGAGAAGCTTATTGCAAAGAAGAAGGAGATGATGGAGAAGTGGGACAAGCATTGGGAGTGGCTACAACAGAGTGAGTCCCACCTGGGGATGGGAATGGTTGGGATCTCCACCAC